TAATCATATCACAATATCCATTAGGTACTTATAACGCGTTATACATCAACAAAAACCGTGATACTATCACAGATATATAATAGTACACTTAAGAAGTTTCAAGTACCCACGAATAATATAATTAAATCACAACAAAATAACTAAAATAGTTATTCTAGGTTTTTTAATATGTAATTTCGTCCAAATTTGAATTTAAAATGTCTGTAAAAAATAACTGTGTTCATATATTTTTTAGATTCTTTGGTTACAGTATGAACTATTTATGAGAACCTTTGCTTTAAATTTGCAATACTTAGCTATAAAAACTGAACATTTTATAATTTATTAATTACAATGATTGATAATTTTCGAGATTTTGATAAATTTTGTAAAAATTCGATCTTTAAATGCTTATAAAAAAAAATTGTGACTAAGGATTTTTAATATTTTTCATCTGCCTTTAAAACAATATACTAGGAGCCTTCTATTACATTTCGTTAATTCGTTTTAGAGTTACACCAAAAACCAAAATCGATTTTTTGGAAAACAGATTTTGCTTAAAAATTCCCGTTTTTCCTTCATTTTTATGTGTTTAATCCCATTGTTGTGAAATCCATTGAGAATTTTAAAATTTTACCTCCCGAATGCACCAACTAGATTCACTTTCCAATCCAACAAGATACTGAAGTTGAAAATCGAAGCATTATTTCGACTACCTACTTATTGTGTACAGAGACACAAAAAAATTAAAAATTAAAAATTAAAAAAAAAAAAAAACACATCATTGTAAAATCAATACGCATTCATCGTTCCACTCAGAATTTAAAATAGACGCTGGTACTGGCACATATAATATATTGTTAATTTTCTTGAATGATTTGTAGAACATGATTTTATAATGGTTGAAAATCAAATAAGGTGTTGAGAGTAAAATTATAAAACATTTATTAATAGAGAAATATCATCGTAACTCTTAATTTTTTTAACTAAAAGATATTCAATGTAGGTATTATTAATGGCCTATCAAATTTTTAATCAATGAGATATTCATATTCATACATACAGTTATATTAACGCAATCAATTTAGAGTATTTGAACACACTACTTAAGTATAGTAAGTCATAATTATGACCCTTAATGCTAATACATTTAATAGGTTAAAGACAAGGATAATGTATTATTATGTGAACGGGGCCCTATCATTTCCGTTACATTTATAATATCGAGCACATACTATGAATCAATAAAGAAATAATACAACACATGCATATTAAATTACAATTAAATATTCAGCTTCAATTGAACTAATATCATTAAAGAAAAACCGACCAAGTGCTAGTCGGACTCGTGCAAGAAGGGTTCCGTACCATCATCTATAAACATGTTGGAAACACTGCTTATATTATATTATATTCTAAGATTTTTAGTATTTGTTGTTATAGAAGCAACAGAAATACATAATCTGTGAAAATTTCAACTTTCTAACTTTTATGGTTCATGACAGACGGACGGACGGACAGAGGAGCCTTAGTAAAGGGTCCCGCTTTACCGTATTAACCCTAAAAATGTTTAAACGGCACTACTTACAACCAGAATTTGATTAGAAAAATGAATAAATTGTGCAACGATTATAACATGTTGCTCTGTTACTAATAACTAATTAATAATACATTCTTGGTGGTCTGAAATAAAATACGTATACATTTTGTTATATTACGTAAATCCACATTGGAACTATACCAACAAGTTAAAATTACAATCTCAATAATTTATGGGTCAACAAAAGGTTAATAATATTATTATTTTCTATGTATGGTTTAATTTTTAATTGTATTTTGACTCTTTTTAATTTGCAAGGTACACGCTAAACTTAACAACTATAGAGGACAGTGCACTTACTTAGGTTAGGTTAGCTATACCTGTTCAATTTTTTTATATTATAGCTATTTTAATTTATGTTATTGGTTTATTCTCGTTAAGTTATAGATCTTTTGTAAAATAACTATTAAGAAGTATGAATTTTCAAATTTATTATTTTGACTTCAGTTTGATAATTATTTTTTTTAAATTCTATTAAATTAATATTTATAAAAGTAATTTAACAGTTATTATAATAATTATAATAAATTAACAGCAATAAAATATTTATAGTTTTTTTTTTTTTTTTTTTTATTGAACAAACATAATATATTTACAATCTGTATTTACAAGTGATACAATAAGTAAATGTGATGATTTTTGGTAAACAGGAGGGGGAAGTCACCCAGTGGCGGCACCCCGTTAAATATTTATAGTTAGATAGTTAAATGAATTACCTACAATAGTTATAGTAGAAATAAGTATAAACACTGAACATAATTTCATAGTTAATTACAAAAGATACAATACTTATTAAACTATCAACACGAGAAAATTATTCTATAATCTATTGCTATTTCAATTATATACAATGATTATAATTTTGAAAATAGGCAGTTATACACTATTTTTATTTTTTTCCTGTTAAATAATCCTGAGTGAATATCTTTGTTTGAGGTAATAGGAATTTTGTTAAAAGAGCTTGGACCCAGATAATCAACAAAAGATGGTCCAACAGATTTTTTAGTATATTTTACGGGCAGATAATTATTATAAGCTATTTTGTTCTCGAATATAAGTAAAATCTATTTGGTAACTTTGAAATAAGATGAGTTACTACGAATCGAACTATGGTTTATACTGAATCCTTATTGGTAAAGCACCATAATATTTATAATTTTGTTTTATTGAGCCATTCTTAATATGCTATTTTGGTTTTGTTTTAAATTATTTAAACTATTGTCTCTTACGCCACCCCAGACCAGAAGAATTTCTTGACATATGAATTGATAAAATGTAATAACAGTATATTGTGTGGCAAGGGCGGGATGTGAGCTATTTCGCCCAAGACTGAAATTGCCTTCCCACACGAGCCACACATACTATTTTTTGTCACGCCTCTGTGTTCATCGATCACTGCAAAGGTAATGCAGGGATCTATGCAACAACCTGACTATTCTACGGAAACAATATTTCATGAAAGACACAATTTAGTTTTATTTATTTTAAGCGTCATGTATGGAGGTTATAATATGAATATAAGATGTAAGCCAAATTGTATGTTTTGTAAGTACCGTGGTATAGATTTCAGTGTCTGGTTGTGCTGGGGATATGCGTGATATGCGGGCTCAGCACTTTTTTGGACTTCCAATTTACCGCCCGACACTACTGGAATTCCCACTTTACCTCCCGCTGGACGGAGAAAGGTTGATTTCCAACTCTTCAGCCGTAATCGAAAACAAAACTTTCGGTGCAGGCGTGACAAAAAATATATATTGTGTTACGTATAGTTTTAATCGTTTTAGTTTAACGAATTTATAAGTTGTGGCGCTTATAGCTTACCAACTAAATTGTTAGTATGAGGATCTCAACTTTAATTACTATCAAAATAATAATATACAATACCTAAATAGGGGATTATTCATATTTCATTTATTTTTTTGCTAGTTTGAGGTCCATATTTCATATATTTATTACAGTTATATGTATAAGAAGAGTAAAACCAGGGCTATTAGATTTATTTATTGTAACTTTACATAATATACTTTTCATAATTTATTGATAAATAATTATTATTTTTGTATTATAATTTTCCATTATGTTGATATCTATAATCAGCATTGATTTGTTTCATATTATTTTTTAGAATTAACTTAAAAACGTAGATTGTTTTCACTAGACTCAATAGAGTAAAATCTAACACAATAACTTATACACCATTTATAGTTTTCAATCTTTCGTATAGTACAATTTATTTATAAAGTGAATTTCTTGACGTAGTTATTGATTTTAGATGATAATTTTAACAAATTAAATCTTTTGTACATCATAATGAGAATAATATGATTTATGCACTAATTGATTCCAGTAATTCAAACGGTAATGCATAGTAATTATTTTATTGTTTATTATAAAACGCCCCGATGTTTATGAGATATGCAATATTACAAGCACATCTGAGATTTTTGTTTAGGTTGTTGAACCATAGGTACCACGCGAGAAGCAACTATTTCGTACAAAGTCAAGGGCGTGCAGTATTTTTAAATCATAGGTTTTATACAATTTAAAACCTCACCCACACATTTGTAATTATTATTATTAATTTACAATAGTTTGGATTTAATTTTTTTTGTCCATATTAAGTTATAACATAATATTTACGTTGCTACGATACTGTTGAATATTATAGGTAGGTATTGATTAGACACTAGTCTCCTTAAAGGAGACCCAACGCAACAGCGCTTATTCATTTTCTTTACCAGTATAAGTAGGTAAGTTGTTTTGTGTTTCTAAATGTTATATATCATTCTAAATCATGTTCTAAAGGTATCATTTCAAAATTGTGAATTAAATAATTAACATATTCTATATTGCTTGAATCATACTTATCATTAAATAGTATATTATATTCTTTACTAAATTGTTCAGTAAACATAAATTATTAATTAAATGACAATTCCAAATCAATTATAATAGATAGTTAACAATACTTACAACAATCATATTATACGTATAGAACACTCTAAATCAAATAAAATATTTGGAAGTGTTGATATAATTATTGATGTATAAGTACCTAATAAGTATATTCATAATACAATACCTAGATACATTTTTCATTATTAAATATTAAATTATACATCTGTGAATGATAACTTTTTTATTTCATTTATTTTATTTTCATACTAGAATTTAATTATTTTTCAACTTCAATATTTAGGTCATCGACTCAATTAAAATTTAAATTCATAAACTATTGTTACTTATAGCGCACATTACGAATATTATTTAATAGGGATTTAAATTCAAGATACACACAGGTATTAAATATTTTATACTAAAAAATAGAAAAAATGTTAAAAATGTATTCATAAACTGAAAAATATTATCAAAATATTTAAAATTTCCTTTTTAGGATTTTTTCTTAAAATAGCTCAAAATCATGGAGAAATCGTCAACCCCTAACCGTCAGCTCTCAATGTGTGATATGATTTCCGATGATTTATCTGGAATAAACAACCAAGGCGTCCCAAAATCATGCGTCACTCATGAAATCTGTGCAGATAAACCCAAACTGGAGAACAATTTTTTTACATTTCTCCAATGGCAGAAACACAACGAGGAACTACTAAACAGATCAGTTCAGGGGCATCATCAATCAAATGTGTAAGATTTTACAATATAATTAATGTATTATTTTTAAATTATCTAATGATAATAATAATATATAATATACTATTAAATAAATATAAACCTAGGGTTGAGTATAATGTGCAGCGCTCGATAAACACATTATCCGGGTCTGTGGATAAAGGTATGTCAGATAGTACCAATAAAATTGCTGGTATGGCTAGAAACATAGATAGATGGAAAGCACACATGTTCCAAGTTATAGAGAACATGCGAAACGAAATCGACTTACTAATGTTGAGTAAAACAAAAATTCAAAAAGCCCAAACGGCATTGCGTATTATATGTTCCATATCTACTGAGTGTTTAGAACGGCGGTCGTTCAGATTGGAAACGGATCTCACTTTAGATCCTGGACAAGTGGAGCTTGTTAAAGTATTAGTTTTAATCATAAATTACAGTTTAATTGGTATCTTAACTTCTATAATAATGTATAAATAGGAAAAAGCACTAATTACTGAAATCGGAAATTTATTTTGCCGCACGTTGTCCCAAATAAAAGATCAATTGAACCGTAATAAAAATGTAAAGGGTCGACTCGAAAAAAATTGGAGTGATAAATATCAATCATTTCAAATTGATACCATCAACTTAGGGCTGAATATTCAGACACCTATTATTATGTCACATGCAGATGTTGTCAAAGACTCTGAAAAGTATGACCGTCTCATTGTGACAAATAATTTTGAAATTTGTGTTTTTGGTATTTAATATTTACATACATTATTATTTTTTATTACTATAGCACTTGTTTGTCAGTACCAGAATGGGAATCGATTACTAAAAGTTTATATGAAGAAGCTGAACAAGTTTTGAATGAATCAACACAATTGAGATCCATAGTTGACGATGTACTCAAGAAAAGCGCAAATAGATTAAGAGGTCAAGCTGACACAGTTGATATTGCTCTGGCGCGGTTCATATCCGATACACAACAAATTGGACAAGCAATAGAGAATGACTTGAAACAAGTAACTAAATAATTTGAATAATAAATTCCATTCATAAATTAAGAAATAGGTATATCATCTATATGTGCAATTTTAAAAAATTTTAATTCTCTAAAATAATGCATATAATTATGTTGGATTCAACTTTTGACCTTTAAATACCTAGGTGTGTATTAAAATATTGCTATCAATTAAATATTAACTGTCGTAACATGAAGCTAACATATAATTAGATATAAAAATTACAAGCTAAAGTGATTACGCATTTACGCCTCTAATTAATTAAACTTGCAACTTGAGTTCAATGTCCCTACTCAATAATTTCGTATTTTATTCTCAAATACTATCCACTAATAATAATCAACTATTTATAATATTCTTTAACATTTAAAGCAGTTCTGAGTAAATTAAGGTTTAAAGTGTAATAAAAGTATCTTGCTTAATTTGGATAAAAGTTACATTTTCGTTAGGTACCTAAAACGCAATTTCGTTACATTAATTTGTAAATTTCATTTAACATGGATAATATTTTTAATAAGTAGGTATATGATTTATAGAGTACACAATTTACACACTACGTGTTAATATTATTTTATGGACTTGAAAATATTATAATTTATAATACAAATTTAATGATAATTTTTATACATTTTAATTTATGTTTAAGTTAATTATTTCTTAATTAATGTTTTATGTACATTATTCTTGTTTGATAGTACATTTAAACTATAGGAAATGTGTCTACAATATCTAAATTGTACCTGTTGTACCTTTTATAATTTTATTAATTTTGTTTCATTGGTTAAAAATAAACTAGGTGGTTCAAAGGTTGGGTGATTCGGAAAATTTAATCGGAGATCTCATTCGAGTAATAATGAATTTAGAAAAAGCAAAACAAACTGCTGAAACAAGGTTACACAATCGGCTGAAACGTCCGGGGGATGAGAACGTCAAGGATAATGCACAACTAAGGTATTTAGCATCACCTCGACGCTCTACAACTAAACCTACTATAATAAAAATTTTCCTTATTTTCCCACGTGTTATACCTATAGTTTATAATTATATAATATAAATAAATAATAATATTTTCTTTTAGCCTTATTTCGGAAGTGAAAAACCTAAGCGATCAATTAAACACGCTCAATTATCAGTTGTACTGTGCCAGAACAGGACACGGGGGTTTGCAAGAAGCGCGTTCGTTACTCGAAGACGATTCTCGTATTAAAAGGAAAACGCTTTGGATCGATAGCATTAGATGTCAAAGGATACGAGCGCATTATCCTTCCGTAAACATATTACTTGGCCATTGAAAAGACGTGATAATTTCAAATCAATAAAAATAATATAAATTATTTTGTTGTGGCCTATCAAAGTACTAATAATATATCATGCTATTTATTTATACTCGCCATAACTAGCCAATAAATTATCATTTAACGATATAACTCAAATAATATTGGCACTCAGCTAGACCACGTATTTATATGCATATAACACGCATTCGCAAACAATACACACTTTTATTTATCAAATAAAATTAAACACTGTAGTGTTGTAATGATGTTGTATAAATTATTGGTGTTTAGTATTTTAAATAATATTATCACCCGAATGGACAGTCATTTAAGTGTTACTTAAAATGAATCCAAGTGTCACCCACAGTCCCTTAAAATTTTGAGTTGCACAGTCATACGCTTGTCTTATGAAGTGGCTGTCACTTAAGAACTTCTTTCAATTTAAGTGTTGAATCAACTGGCCATAGTGGGCCCATAACTTTTGATATCAGTCATTCTAATAGAAAGACATTTAAATATAAATAATATATACTAAAATATACACTTTATACAATAAACAAGATGTAAAGAAAATATTACATAATATTATCAAGCGTGATTAGTATTTTCGGATTCTTAAGTTGATGTACAATATTTGAGTATTAATAACAATATAAAATAAGACAATAAACAAAATCGACAATTTTAAATGTCTATGAATAACTCAAAAAAGGTCAAAGTATTTTTAGAATTCTATCATATATATGCAAATATTTTTTGAAAATTTTAAAAATGTACATGGTTATTCTTTTAGAATTACAACAAAAACATAAAATCGATTTACTACCAGAAACCACTCTCAAAGTTGGATATCTAACCACTATTTATTATCAGTTCAATGTGATTATGACAGACACAAAAATAAAAATCGGAAAGTGGGTAATACTCTTATTATTGTGTGTAGAGAGTCACTGTATTGGATGTGTTAAATTTTAATTCAATGATATAAAATTATTGTTTACGAAAAACGATTCTGAGCAAAAACGGTCTGTCATAGTATAACTAATATTGCTAAGTACCTACCTAGGTATATTATATGATATTATTGTGATTAGTACTACAGTAGGTTAAATTAATTTTTGTCCAAAAATTACATTTGAAAATGTCATTATGTGTATACTAATGTTGTAACAGTATGTGAAGAGTCTTGTATTAAATTGTCAAGCTTTTTGATCCAATTAATAAAATTATATTGATATTTATAGAAAAGAAAACGGAAAAAATTGATAATGTCTATGAACAGCTCAAAATAAGTCAAAATATATTTAACATTTTATCAAGTATAGAAAATGTAAAATAAACATAATATGGTGTAAATTTGAAGTAGGTATATCTACGGTTATTGGTTTTTGAAATTCAACAAATAAGAAAAATGTTGTCAAAAGTTGAACTTCAGACGCTCTGAAGCTTATACAAATTATTGTGGATTTAAGCTCAACTTTTTTTTAATTTCTTCTATAACAACAACTTACGAGGAACCTTGTATAATATATTATATTATATTTTCAATATTTTTTACCAGGTGAATATGTTTTGTCTACAAACATTTTCAAAAAAAACTATAATAATAGATAATGTCACGTGCCTCAACATGAGTAAAAATATTTTTAAAATGTTATTGTGTACCTATAGAAAATGCATTAATATAAGTATTTAGTGAAAATTGCTTCAGCTCTTTTGAAAACTACAGGAAATTTTTTAATATTTAATCCTCCCGAATTCACCAACTATAGATTCACTTACCCACCGGAAAAGATACTGAAGTCGAACATCGATGCATTATTTTAACTACTAAATACTTATCATGAACCCACAAAAAAAAATACATACAAATGTAAATGTAATATTATATTACAAATATTTATCTCACCGTTTAGAATTTAAAATCCAACAAATGTTTAAGAGTAAAAATTAACTTATTTCACTCGATGTTACACACAATATTATGTACCTACTTTGTTATCATAATATTATGATTTATTATTATACTTTACTATACAATTTTAAATTGTCGTTGGTTATTAGTAGGGCTAGGGACTTATAAAATATGCAATTAAAAATAAATCATAGTATTGGATAAAACATTTTTATTTTAATATATTCTAATATATAATTTATAACAAAAAAATAGCGTTTTATTCATTTTATTTTCTGATTAGTTTTTTTCTTAGATCGAGTTTGAGGAATCACGCGTGTGGTGAAGTAGGTACCGATAAGTAGTCGTAAGTGATCGGAAAAGAAAACAAACAGCATACTAATATCTCAGATCCAGGAAATCTTTTTAAAAATAAGTTTTTTTTATAAAACTATAAACCTTTAAATAAAAAAAATTACAAATATGCACTTTTAAATGAAAAATGGTCTAATATGCAACTAAACATTTTAAATATAAACTAGTGTTGCTATGAAACAAATTTCTATATTACTTAGGTATGTTTTTAATGATTATAAAAAAAACATGTAAGCTCCTTGAAGTCCCTAGCCCTAGTCGCATTAGTCTTCTTAGTAACCCATTTTCTAAATAATTAGTGATTACATTTGGGGCATAAGATTCAGCAGTTCCACTGATTTAATACTGCAGATGGGTAAGAATTTTAACTGTAGGTGCGATAGGTGCATACTGTCAGTATGATACTGGAAAATATGTAATTTCTGCATGTCCTTCGGTGGTCGTTGTTCAACTTGTTTGAATAAACACTATAACGCTGAGGTAATAATAAATAACAAGTGCCGTGGGAACTGGAATTCCAGCATCTGTATTTATAACGCTGATCGTCATCTGCGGCTGCCTGCAGCAGGCGTGTGTATATGCATATTATACAAGTGCATACAGGTATTTTCCCCATATTTCGTATAATAATATTATGAATGATGATAATATCATATTATTAGTATTATATTAATTTGCCCGTGAATTCGATACCCTTCGCCCGACTGGATATTCGACCGTATTTGGGCTCGCGAAACCGGCAGAGAGATGAAAAAAAATATTATTATATTTTTTTCGTAAGTAAACGCGACGCACGTGCAGTCGTGAACCTTGTCTTCATTTGCATTGCTATAGGGGAACGGCTGTGGCGGCAACCTTCAACTTGGACCGCGAATACCTTACGCCGCCGCACGGGTGACATCACTCGGCCGATTGTATTATTATTATTTTTATCATTTAACGTCGGGGGAGGCCTTTCACCTGTACGCATTAACATATTATTATTAGTACCTACACTATTTTTATATAACGTTTTGCCGACGTATTGGCAACGGGAATCATAGCCTAAAGGTAATAATAATATCGGTTTCACACGCACCCACCTATATATGGGTAATACACTAATACTATATACGAGCACGACCGTAATACATATTTTGCATATCTATAATATCTGTAAGACCACAACGGGACCGCTTGTCCAATCGCAATGTTTACAGAGAAACTGGGTGACGAAAAAAATATATATAAGCCAAACACGCCCATCGTAAATCGTATCCTAAAGCGGAGCTACTTGATTTTTTTTTTTTTCGTGGGCTGAAATCTGCAACAATGGTTTCGGAAACAAAACTGACTAACCGAGTATTTCCGGACACGACATAATAATTTAACATTCGGGTATTTAAATGTAACATACTTTGTAGTTATAATATACAATATTGTAATGTACAGGTCGTATATATACTGTATTATACAGGGTGTATCTTATGTCGTTGTACGCGGGGTTTTTTGACGATTACGGAACGATGATATGGAATTTCGTTAAAACGAAAAAAGACGTGTTTCTTTATTTTTAACAAGCAATTTTTTTTATAACAATTTCAAAATTTTTAAACACGCAAGTGTACCAATAGCAAAATCAACTTTTTTTTTTCAAATGGTAACCACTATATTTTTTAATGGATTCTGGTAAAGCTTTTTTTTCTGAACATTTTGGTAGTCGAATCGTCAATTTTGGTTCGCTAGTTTATTAACTATGGTCCTCCAAAGATTAGTAAAATATACATTAATACTTTTAATTAAAATAATGGGTATAGGTTTAATTTACAAGCGCTAAACAATTTTTTCTTATAACTACCATTTGATACACTACAATAGTTGAATCGGTAATCTAATGACACCCTCAAAAAAAAAAAAAAAATAACAAACATAATTGTTTGTAAACATACTTCATTATTTTTATTTTAACATACGATCATAAAAATCAATATTATTATTTTAATATCCAAAACTAAAAAGGATGGAAAGGGATGAATTACAACTCCTAAGTTCATACTTTGGATGCGATACCATTTTAGGGAATCTATGGTTAAAATATCACGTTTATACTTTATACCACTACGAAAAGAGCACCACAAACATTGCACTTTTTTCGTTGCACATATTAATGTCAACAATCGAATACCATTAACCAATTTACTATTATTACCTTAGCTACCTACCTAATTAAGAATTCAAATTTATGATATTGTAAGAAAAGTAACTGTGATGAAAAAAATGTAAAGTAATTAATTACGATTATAATAATTAATTAAAATAATAATATTGATTTTTATGATCGTATGTTAAAATAAAAATAATGAAGTATGTTACAAACAATTATGTTTGTTATTTTTTTTTTTTTTTTTGAGGGTGTCATTAGATTATCGATTCAACAATTGTAGTGTATCAAATGGTAGTTATAAGAAAAATTGTTTAGCGCTTGTAAATTTAACCTATACCCATTATTTTAATTAAAAGTATTAATGCATATTTTACTAATCTTTGGAGGACCATAGTTAATAAACTAGTGAACCAAAATTGACGATTCGACTACCAAAATGTTCAGAAAAAAAAGCTTCACCAGAATCCATTAAAAATATAGTGGTTACCATTTGAAAAAAAAAAGTTGATTTTGCTATTGGTACACCTGCGTGTTTAAAAATTTTGAAATTGTTATAAAAAAATTGCTTGTTAAAAATAAAGAAACACGTCTTTTTTCGTTTTA